CAATTACAGTAATTAACTGACTACTAATTGCATGACGGTATGGTGCAAATTAATGCGTGTATGTTTACAGTAAATCACTGCATCTTCCATACCGAGCCTTAGAGTGAAGTACTGAAATACCAACTGATTGTAACATAATGTGTACTTTCTGTAACTATGCAGTGATTACACCAAAGTAGCAGCATTTTAAATTAAAGTATCCAGTAATTAAACTACACATTACTTAAATTTCGCAGTTTCTCCCTCTGGAGTACAGAAACTGTATTTGACTGTACTACAAACACGTGTTTATATTAGTAGTTTCCCTGCGTACATTTCAATATAAACACAATAGGAGTCACTGTATTCTTCGTCAATGTTCACACAATTCGACTCAAACCATAACGCCGATGTGCGGAGATTCTGTGTGTGTGTACGCCGTGACGCAATAAACAGACTAAATTAAAAATGACAGACAGCTCCCGCGGAGCTTCAGCTGTCGTCCAAGAAAAACAGACAGACGGAAGAGTAATGCCAAGAGAGAATTTCTCCATCATTTGCTTCTGTTCATGACAACATATTTTTAGCGTCTCCCTGCTGGAGACTCCTCTCGTCCTGAACTAAAACACTTCTGGTATTTCCTCATTTTGACAAATAAGCAGATTTCCTTTCTAAACACAACAAAACTTTAATGTTCCTTAGAGAAAACAAATGTTGATGATCTTATTTACTCTGCTTAATGAAGTCTGTTTATTTGTGTGCTTTTGAACCTCACATCCTGCTGACCGTTGAACGTGTTTGATCCTAATGATTTTCTCCTCTTCATCGCGGGAACCTAATGATTTTCTCAAATGTCCTTGGTTGTCCCTGCACCACAGGAAGTGTAAACCGACCAGGCCCGGTCCCTGCCTTCCTCAGGAGTCCGCCTGTCATCCCACCCCCGCTGGACATGAAACCCTTCCTCCAGTTCCCGCTGGAATCTCCTCATCCAGCCAGCATCGGCCTCTTCCACAATTTTACCACAGTGAGTGCTTAGACACACACACACACATTCATGCACACACAGAGACGTACACCTGGGCTCAAAGCTGTCTCGAACGTGTCATCATCTTGTTTCTTTTTAATGGAAAGTGCAGCTTGTATTCACGTGAGGCTCTGCCTCCAGAGCGTGAGCAGTGATAAAGTGCTGAGGATTCATATCACCAAAATGATAAGGTGACAGCTGTTTACATTTGATTCTGCAGAGTGAGTTTCCGTATAATTGAGAAAATGTTTGACTGCAATAAAATGAGTTACAGCTAATCAATTGTACAAGAGGCACAGACGTATATTCTCCACAGTCAGCGTTTTCTACGGCTCCGTCTCATTTCCAGATTAGGTTTCACACGAAGGTCAGTGCGGTGACAAACAGTCACACACACAAACACACACACACTTCAGCTTACATGCATGCATTCAAGTAGAACGCACCCTTTCCACCAGTTTATGATTAATTCTCTTTTGTTAAAGATATTCAGTTTGTTGAATTTACGTAATTTAAATAACTATCTATCTGCATGAGAAAGATTCACACTGATATACTGTATGCCTAATGATCAGCCTGCTAATCTACAGGAGAACAGTCTGACAGAAACAGTCAGTTCAACACCACAGCAGCTGGTGTTTAGTGTTGACTTTGTCATATTGACTGGTCGAAACCTGTGCAGCTGCGTTGATCAGCAGCTGTCGTTGTTTGTGTGTCTTCATCTCTGTCACCATGTCTTTTTGTGGAAATGAAAACTCTATGTAATATGTTTAGTCACAATTCCACAAGGCAGATCATTATAGATGCAAAACCTTTTAGTCTAAAGTTTTATATATATTCCAGGCAGCATTTTGCTCTTATTCCAATCCATTCGTCCAAACTAAGCTGCGGTTTTCATCAACATTCATTTTTGGCTAAGAAACACGTATAGATTTTGACTGACTCCGTGCAAATACCAAACACCTTTTTTAAAAATCTATAAATGTATCCAAAAATAGATTTTAAACGGGGTTTCATTTTTAGACCAAATATACTGTTTCCCCTGGAGCTCACATGAAGAAACTCGTCTCTCGTTCGTAGCCTGAGCAGAGGATGAGAGGCTGAATAAAAACCACAGTTTGCTTCTGGCTGCTTAAAGAGGGAAACACCCAGTGCTGTGGTTGTTGACCTCCAACAAGAGGTCAGAAAAAATCCATCCGAGTCGTCTTCAAATCAGGGAAATAAACAAGTCACCCGTGCGATGACGTGGCTCAATTATACATTTGACCTAGAAGCAGGTTATTTAAGAATATTCAGGAATGTGTGAGGCTGTAAAGGTGGATAAAATAAGAAAGAAAAATATACTTTATGGTTTGTTGTCAAATCATATGTAGTGAAATTTAGAAAACAAAGAGATAGATTTATAAAACAGCACAACAGTACATGCAGGTAGATAAAAAGCCAAATGTTAAAGGTTAACGCTCTCTTACAAATTTAACATCTTCCATCTAAAATCACCATCAATGCAACATAATTATCACCCCATTAAAAAAATATATCAAAGCACTACACTCAGAATATATTTGTTGTTTTGATAAAAAGGGAGATTTTGTAGGAACCAAACATAGTAGGAATGTGTGTAGACACACAAAGCCGGTAATTATAGGCCTGTTTTAACCCCAAGAATTAAAGCTTTGAACCTCACCCAAGAACTCAGGCACCAACAGCAGCACCAGCTGCTGTTAAGAAGGAAGAAAAAAAAATCACATACTCCTGTCCACATCAATCACTTCCTTCTCTCCAATTCACTCTCCTTTTTTTAAACTTCCACCTCGTCCTCCTCCATCCTTCGTTTCTGCCTCTGTCCTTCACCCCCTCCTCCCCCGAGCCTCATTTATGTAGTTGAACCTTTCGGTGCACTGTGGTGAAGAAGACACTTCAACGCTGCCTTCCTCATTTTCTCCTGCGGTGCTGCATCTCTAATGAGACCTATGTGTTGTTTCTGTCAGATGGACCCTGTCCAGAAGGCCGTGATGACACACACCTTTGGGCCACCCGTGGTGAAGACAAAACGGCCGATCATCACCTGCAATGTCTGCCAAATACGTTTTAACTCAGAGGTAGGACGGCTTCAAAGGCTGGAAGATTTACTTTTCTGTATAAAACTTGTTTATAGTATAATAACAAATATCCTGAATTTTATGTGAAGTGTCTCTATAGAGACACAAACATTGGAAGTTGCAGTGATTTTTTTTTACCAAAAATATGCGAGTGTTCACAAAATCTACCTTTATTTATTTAAATAAATGCAGACACACTGAATGTGGGGTGATTTCTAGCCCAGGTTCCAGATGTCTCGAATTTTATTTTTACACTCCTCTTTAAAGTTCCTTTGACAATTCATACTGTTTGGTTTATTAAATATTTAGTTTTCTCTCGTTTGAACCTAGTGTTTACAGAAATACCTTCACAGAAAGCAATTCTAGATGTGATTTAAACACAGAGTTTTCATCTTCAGAAACTACTACGTTAGACACAGAACCACACGTCAAAATGCAAAATGTTGGACATGTGCCTTTTCAAACATCCTCTGATATTGTAGAGCTCCACTCAGACTCATTGCAACCATCCACACGCATTAAATCATGACCTAAAATGTTACTTGGCTGAAACCAGAGTTGGCTGCTGATTGACTGTACAGCTGAAGCAGGTAAAAATATGGTCCACAGATTTTCAGGTCTAATTTTAGCCTCCTCGGAGAAGGAGAATGGGAATACTGCTTGTGTACAAACAAGCCATGACATCAACGTGGCACTCTGTTGTATCTGGGGCCAGAAAGAAATTGGATGAAAGTCTGGGTGTGGAAATGTAATCCAGGTGTCATCATCACTAAGATTAAGCTTAATATGATACGTTTATAGGTCACTGCTGACCAGATTTAATTACAGGACCGTAGGACGTGTCATGTTGAAGTCTAACTAATGTGAATTTGTCCTGAGAGCTGCGGCTGAAGCTGATGGAGCACATTTATAGCATTTCAACTGTGACAGGGGTGAGTGAGTGTGTGTGTGTGTGTGTGTGTTTAACACCCGTGTAGGACGAGTGTTAATTTAACTTTGAAAAACAAATAATAATGTGGCCACATAAAACCCAGCCACAAGACGACATGATTTATTACAAAAGTAAAGGGTGGAGGTCGGAGACAGACAGAGGACAGAGACAGACAGA